ACATAACATACAACTTACTATTTTTACCATTTTAATTGTACAATTCAATGGTATTAATGACATTCACAATATTGTGTAACCATCGCCACTATCTAATCCCAAGCTCTTTCATCACCCAAACAGAAACTCAGTTCCCATTAAGAACAGCCTCTAGCCCGTTAACCTCCAGTCCACGCTTTGCCTGTGAACTTGCCTATTCATTTCGTATTATACTTGATGATACAATATCTGTCCCAATATGTCTGGCTTTTTTCACTCAGCATAATGTTTTCAAGGTCCATGCATGTGGTCTCGTGTCAGAATTTAACCTGCTGCATGTGCACAGCACATCTTGTCCACCCACTCATTCGTTGATGGACACGTGGGTTGTTTTCACTTTTGGCTATTGTAAATAATGCTGCCGTGATCACGGGTGTATGAGGATCTGCCTGAGTCCCTGTTCTCAATTCTTTCGGCTTATGCCTAGGGTGGAATCGCTGGATCATATGGTAATTCTATAGTTAGCTTTTTGAGGAATTCTCTTTTGCTATGGAAATAAACAGGTTTAAAAAAGGGGAGGCACTATAATTTCATGGAGTCAATTTCATTGCTATGATTAAAGACCAAACAAAATAATCCCGTTTGTGGAGCAGAACAGCAGCAATACTCTTGACAACGTATTTTTGGGTTTTTTGGATAACACAAACATAAGAAGTAATTGGATTGTTTAGAAAACTGTACTAAGCACTCAGCCTTATTAGAATGAATCGTGGTTAGAGTGTTGACCTGGACACAGTATTTAAGCAGAGGCTGGCAGCCGTCTAAGGTGGGGCACAACCTTGGTGTTAAAGTTACTCCCTTCTGTACACCGGGGGCCCTCTCTCTGCAGTTAAATAACCAGGTCTCACCTTGACTCGCTTCTCTCCTGCTCCCGTTGCCATCTGGGTGGCTGCGAGCCTTCATCCCGGCTGCTCCTCACCCTCCCGGCAGGCCGGCCTCCCTCACGCAGCTGCACCACGCGGTGTCCGTGGCTCCGTCTGGGCGCGGCCAGCCACTGCCAGGTGCCCGCACAGATGAGGGCAGATGCTCCAGTCTCGGCTCCCAGTTCAAACTCTGCTAAGAACTGAAATTTTTGCGCTTGATCTCTCCTTTTGGAACGATCAGTATCGCCCGCTAATTTGGGGGCTTTCATTCTCGGGTTGCCTGCCGACTTCCTTAGGGTTTGAACCGAGTTCCTGTTCGTCGATTATCTTCAAGGGTTCGAACTGGAACACCTGGTGGGGAATGGGGGCCACCTGGGGGGCAACATCACCTGCTTTTACCCTGAAAGCCTGTTGTGTTCTAACCAACCAACGGCTTTGAACTCTCTGATTTTTATTGAAGGAGCGGAATCCCAAACCATTTACCAGTTAGTATGCTTTTGCTCGAGGAGGTTGCTACTCTTAGAAACGTTTTTACCCCGGCTCACCGCGCAGAGGAGCGGGGTGTCCTGGGGTGAGACGCCGCCGGTGGAATGTTGTTTCCACGCACCGCGTCTCCCGGTTCCAGGAGGACCTCAAACATCTCCCAGGTTGCGTGCTACTTTCTCTTTTTCACGCTGGCCAGGACTCCATCAGTCACATTTGCCTGGTTGACTTCAGATTTGTCAGAAACCAGAACCCACCCCAGACCCGTGCTTCCCTGCACAAGCTCCCCCCGTCCTCTAGGCCAGACCCCACCTCCCTCTCTCCACGCCGGCTCCCCTCTCGCTGGCTGTTTCCAGTTCAGTCCCAGCTGGCTCAGCCCTGCAGAAGTGCAGCCTCCCACCTCCCTCGGCTCCCTTCCTCCCTAATTATTTAGCACTTAAGTGGATTTTTCTGTTCATCTGTAGTTTGTTGTGGATGTTTCTGTTTCTGTCACTTCTGTTTATACGTATTTACAGTTAGTTCAATTATCTGTTCTAATGGCGAGCTAGGTGGCATGAATAATTTAAAAATAATTTACATTTGGCTTTGGAATGCGTCTCTGTACTCACATTTGAGTTTGGGGGTGTCTGATATTCTGGGAATTCACATTTCAAGCTCAGTAATGGGGTTGCCGCATGAAATGCCTTGGGAGAGGTGGAGAGTTATTCAGCATTTTCCCCGCTGGCCCCTGAAATGTCGTTTGGCTCCCAACTCCATGATGAGGCTGGAAAGCATCCCTCCTCATAGAGTTGGCTTGTTCTGGACCCAGGAGAGCCTGCCCCGTCCATTCAGGGTCTGCCTCCACCATCTGTCTGGTACACGTTGTCTCTAGCAAGGGGGGAGGTAATCAGGAGGCCGACTTGGAAGCAAATGATCAGGGCTGATGTAATTATCTGGGAAAGAAACATTCCTTAATTGTAAGGCTTTGCCAAATGAGCATTCATTAACTACGGCTGCACAAATGTAACCGGTCCGTTGGGTTTGAAAAATTTTCTTAGCCGTTCTCATTGTGAAATACGCGACAGGACCGACTGAAAATGTTAACTGGCTTTAAACTAGCAGGGCCCTTCCACATACATGGAGCTGCCCACACAGCGCTGTGCTAACGGGTGACACTGACGGTGGTGGGCTGGGCAAAGGCTTGCGGCCCTGACCACACCACGAGAAATATTTAAGTTCTGCTGACTTGTTACATAAACACTCTAACCTCAAGTTTGGCCTGGGCAATTCCATCCCCTCCTGTGAGCCCTGCGCTGCCACCACGGAGAAGGCACGGCTGTTTTCAGAACAAACCTGCCTTTGGTTTCATTCTAATTGTGGGATGGAACATGCTTGACAAAGCAGCTGAACGTCGATGGGTCACTTCTGGTCTGTTAGTGGTTTTTTTCTTTTTTCTTTGTAATCCTCTCGGGGAAATTTTTTCCATTGCTTTTCAGAGAACAGAAGGGGGCGGGGGGAGGAGAGAAAAACATCGATGTGAGAGAGACACATCAATTGGTTGCCTCCCGCACCCCCCC